GTCTGCTCAACATTTTCTTTGTGTATGTGTGTGTAATAATTTTATTAAAGTTTACAAATATAAAGATAAAAAGCTAATAAACTAAGAGAAAAGAAAAAGAAAAGTGCAAAGAGAGAGAAAAAAAGAAAAGGAAAAAGGAAAAAAAATAAGAAAAGGAGAAATATGAAAAAGTGACTCGCGTCTCCTTCTAAATAAGTATCAACATCTTCAGTAACTTAACATCTTCTCTAGCATTTCAATAATAAAAAAAGATCTCTTCTTCCCATATCTCATCTCTTATCAATAAACAAATTGTAAAAATTCATAATTCAGTCCTGTTCAGCAAAAGTCCACTAAGAGCTCCCAGAAATAATAAAATATATATTTTAATCTTAATCAAATGAATCAATTTTGTATTCCAATTTATCACTTTCTCTGAGGAATAAAACAAAATAAATCTCTCCCCATTTATAAACAAATCTTTAAATCCTCATCATTCAGTCCTGGTCGAGAAGAAATTCCATTAATAGCTACCAGAAATCGCAACACATATATTGTAACCCTGATCAAATAAGTTCACTTTATAGTCCTTCTGATTACTTTTAAGAAGCTGGGTCTTTAATCCCGTAAAATAATATCCCACAAGCTGATTTCTTATCATTTTTTCTTTGTCTCCTCTCAGGAACAGCTTCAGTAGTTTAACACATCCCTTTTGTGAATCCAAGATAACAAAGCTATCCAACTCTTCTGATTTATTATTTTTATGTCCCCTTTAGTTATTAAAATATCAGCCAGTTTCACTTTAAATCTATTGTGGCATCTTTTTCTGTATCATTCTTATAATCTGTCATTTTTAAATGTGTTTTCAAATCCACATCACCTTTTCCCATATCACTCTTGTAGTCTGGCATTTTTAAAAAATCCATTCTCAAATCCACATTCAAGTCAGCCTCAGTCTCTATTTTGTCCAGTAAAATCTGTTCCTCTTCTGTAGCCTCTGTTAGATCCATTTTTATGGTGGCAGAGAATCTTGAAAGTAATTTCTAATTACGTTCTTCCCAGACAGCCTTAATTTCTTCTGTAGTCAGATAATATTGCTCCATTATATTAATATGTCTCTTCTTTAATTGTAATCTTTAGTTCCCTTTGGTTCCCTGTAGTCAACCTTCAGAGTCCCCTCTTATATGTTTATTTTCCAATCAGCAAAACTTTCCCACAAGAGGATTTCTTACAGTTAATTTCAAAATCTTCATATATTCTTTTATAAAATTTTAAACAACCCACAAGAAATATTCTTTCAAGTCTGTCTGGCCCCTTATGTTTCCAAAATCAACATTCTAGTCCCTCTTTTGCTGTTTTCCAAAAATTAAAATTTTTCTTT